ATTATTCACTGGCAGTATTTTAAGACAGTAATCCAGTTCCAAGTAAAGAAAAAATGGTATTGATGATTCCATGTAACCTGCTTCATACTAATAAAACTCAAAGATAATGCAAGCTCAATACCAGAATAAAGTATGTGGCCCGATTTTGTTGCTTCTCCAGTGCATATAGAAAAGTTGTATTAGAGTCTGTTAAGTGTGCATTAGGAAAAAAAACTCAAAATTCACCTGGAACCAGACCCTCGGGAAAGCATTTCAGGAATCAAAGCGGGTCATTGTTAAACTAGTAAGGCAGGGCTTATCAACATTTGACATCAACAGAGTTACCTGCTTAGCCCCTGACTGGAGTAAAGACGGCATGGGATTTTTACTTCTCCAGAAGCACTGCACATGTGCAATCGAAAGAGCCCCAGTCTGTTGCCTTGAAGGCTGGCACCTTGTGTTTGCTGGAAGCAGATTCTGTACTGAACAAAGATATGCACCCATAGAAGGTGAAGCAGCAGCTATCAGCTGGGCACTTGAAAAATGCCGCATGTTCATACTAGGTTGCCCAAACGTTATAGTAGTGACCGACCATGAGCTACTCAAAGGCCTTTTTGGTGATCGAGATCTCAGCAAAATTCACAATCCTTTCCTATTCTGACTCAAAGAAAAAAGCTTGTGATATCGTTTCACCATGCAACATTGCCCTGGAAAATGGCACAGAGCCTCTGATGCTATTTCCCGCAATCCAGTCGCTACAGTACAAAGCCTACTTGATACATTCTCCATAGACACTGATGAATCAGATGAAACTTGTGAAACAATGAGATTGACAGCCCTCACATCAATATCTCAGTTAGATGATAACCCTGCCATAACTTCCCCTGACCACATTCGTTTTGCTGGTCAAAAAGACACACAATACACCCTATTAGGGAAAACCATAGACAATGGTTTTCCAAACAGTCGTCAAGCAACGCCGCCTACAATCCGGGAATACTGGGAAGTTCGTAACCGCCTCAGCAATGACAATGGCCTAATACTACTTGACAGGAGCGTAGTAATACCTACCTCCCAGCGCAAAAACATGTTAAAGTGCCTACATTTGGCTCATCAAGGAGTAGTTGGCATGAAAGCGCGTGCCAATGACTCAGTTTACTGGCCTGGAATGAATGCCTCAATTCGCAATTATAGGTATAATTGCATTACATGTTCCAGGAATGCCCCAAGTCTACCACATGAACCAATCCACATGACACCTACACCTGAATGGCCGTTTCAACAAATTGTAATGGATTTGTTCTATGTTGGATTCTTCACATATCTTGCTTGTGCAGTTGCCTCCAGGTTGATATCCATCTGCAGGGAAATATTCCAAACATATGGTGCACCTGAGGAACTTAGTACAGATGGTGAACCACCCTTCTCAGCTTACTCATTCCGACAATTCCTAAAAACCTGGGCTGTTAAACAAAGAATTTCATCAGTGGCTTATCCCCAGTCTAACGGACGTGCAGAATTAGCAGTCAAGACTGCAAAAAGACTCATAAAAGACTGCACAGGACACCAGGGTTCCTTGGACAATGACATGGCAGCACAAGCAATCCTGCAATATAGAAACACCCCTATCCAAGGCATTGGCTTATCACCAGCGCAACTCCTGCTTCATAGACGTCTTCGGGATTTTATCCCATCGCACCCACAGTTATATAAACCACATCCCGAATGGATAGCCGCAGCGCAAAAACGTGAAAAGAAATTATCCAAACGCAATGCAGACCTCATCGAGAGGTACAACCGTACTGCACATGCAGCTATCCCCACTTCATAAGGGTGACACAGTCTCCATTCAAAACTCAAATAGCCATCGATGGGACATACCTGGGCTAATAGTAGAGACGCTTCCCAACCGTCAATATAAAATTAGAGTTGCAGGACCAGGCAGAATAACCCTGCGGAACCGTAGGTTCCTAAGGAAACTTGAAGCGCCCATAATCAAGACCCCCATACAAGCGCCATGCCAATGTCACCTGAGCCGACGATTACAAATATGTGTACACCACATCAATCTGTCAAAGAGTCGGGAAATGGTGACATTACATTGCGAAATGACCTAGCGTCCCAGGGCCCTACTCAATCACAGCCATCAACAACCAGGATTCCCAGGGCGCTATCCCGACTACTCCCGCAGTGGGGAGAGGAGGGACATGTAGAAGTCAAGGGACTTAGATGCCAAGATGGCTGCTTTCTTTTGTTTCCTTGTAAAGCAAGCCAGCTGATTTTAACTCATTTTATAGGAGAGTGCCTAATACACCAGTGAGGTTGGTACATTTTACTAGAATAGACCTGCATTTCCATGAGTGGTCTTTATTCACCCATATATTTCTCCATGAAATGACGCAAGTCAGTTTAGCTTTGGCTACACTTGCCTACTTGTGTGTCAGACCACTGACAAGCTAACCAATATTCCCGGCTTTTCTCTTAATAATGATCACTTTCCTGACACTTCAGAAATGGATATTCCTGTTCTCTTACAACCAAACACTTAATACCTTAATATAAGATATGTGTGTGTGTGTGTGTCTGTGACTTCAAACGTTATTTTTAGTGGATACCTATATTTAAAATAGATGTCCCATTTTTATTTTAAATAGTGTTCACTGTGTCTGAGTGGTCTAAGGCATGTCAAATTAAATGGTGATTTCTCCTACAAAGGACCAAGGTTCAAACCCTGATGAGTAGTACATTTTCTTTATTAAGTTTTCTTGAGTACACAGATCAATAGATGTAATACACAATGTTAAAAATAAAAATTGGTCATCTATTTCAAATATGGAAAGCCATTATAATGTTTGAAATGATAAAAGTATGTGATTAAAAATAACTTTTGTATATTTCTGTGATGAGGTGTCATGTACACTATCTACATTATTCGGACTATTGTCCTCATCTTTGTCACCATATTTATCACAACTTTTCGGCCATTGTAAGGTCCTGCCTTCTTCAGGTGGTTGGAATTATCGAACTGTGCCCTTTATTTCGCTAACTTGGGTAAACTGTTCTAGTTCCACTTGCCATGTCTAATGGATGTCAGTTATCAGTTATCTCCTGTTAATTCCCCTATCAAAGTTCTCCACCACCTTAACCAGATATTGAACTCACACTTTCTTCTTCTGATATTTTAATATGCATCTCTAGGGGGCTCATTTGACATAGATGATGCCTTTACCATTTGGGCCATAGTAACCAACTATTTTTACAAAGTTAAATCTAATTTCATAACTATCTTCTTAAAGAGAGAGAGCACAGGTCTTCAGACTATCGCTTTTCACTGTTGTCATGGAATCGTCCTGAAAATACTATAAACTGTCCTGAAACCAAAATGTGTTTTTAACTTTGTTATCATTTATAGTTGTCAGTAGCAGAAAAATACAATTGAAATGATTAAGAAATAAATTAAAAAAGGTAAACTGAACAAATTAGTTAAATTTTACAGTAATTTTTATTAAAAAAAAATTACTTTTAAACATTTCAATTAAATCACCTTAGATAATCTTACATTGAATATTGCTGCCATGTTAGGTCTTTTGTGCCTACTATATATCTTGAAATTCTTGATAAAATTCAAAGAGTCTGTAATTTAACCAATCCTGACTTGGCATTCCAACTTCAATGACTTCCTCACCACAAATAGTTTTGTGGCAATTGTTCTGATGAACTTTCCTCCTTGGTGCCTCAACTGCATGAATTTAAGTATATTACTAGATTAGCAACTAGGTCTCACCTGTGGAACTTCTGTCTGAATTTTTGCTTCTCTTCCACCTACAATCTTCAAAAAATGGAATCCCAGTCACCATCTCCTGTCTTCCAGAAACCTTTTATTGTACTTTCTCCTCATTAAAGTATTCTCATTATCTTTCACACCCAGTAACCGCTTGTATCTTAGTGTCATTATCAACTTACTTGGGGTGAAATGGTTAAAAAAAAAAGTATAAGTATCTTTCTTATTCTCATTTTGTTTAGAACTTCCTCATTGCTCATGTGTTTTTCCTCTGCCATACCAGAGAAGAGATATCACATAGCAGTTCAGCAATCTTTGTTTCTAACAAAATATTCCTACATCTTAACAGTTTCTGAAAGGTTTATTTTACTATACTGATACACCATCAAATTTGTGACATTTTCCATCATCTGTTACTACACTACCCAAATAGATAAATTTCTCTACCTGACTGGTTTTGACGTCTCCAATTTGAATCTCACACTTTTGGTTGTCTCCCTTGCTGAAAAGTTTTGGTAACAACAAAAGCAGCAAAAATAATGAATTTAATGGTTCAAACAAGTTTTAGAATAACAAAAATCCATCACCATTTTTCTTTTTCTTTTTTGTTGATCAATTTATTTTTTTACAGCTTATCAATCTTTTGCAGGTTTTTGCAGCCAGAAAATATTTTTAGATTGTAAGAAGTTTTTTGAGATAATAATGATTTTTACCAATACCAGTTCTACTAATTAACCCATAGATGGGTGGAGAAGAGGTGGATTCATGCCATTCCCAAAGATATTTGTGCATAAGTGAATATAATGAACCAACTGGAATTGGAACTAAGTTCTCTGACTTCAAATTCAGAGCTGTTATCCATTAGTGTAATGTAACATTCAAGCTTACAGTGCCTGGTATTCCCAAGTGACATCCATCTAGATACTGACCAGCCTCATCCTTGGTTAACTTTGGTGATCATATGAGAACCAGTTTTTCAACTTGATATCATTGTAAGCCTATTTGGATATAAAATTGTATTCAGATGAAATGAAAATGAAACATTAATTTTTTTATGCATGTAGAAATTCTTGCTTTCTTAACTTTTAATATAAAGTTTCATTATGAATAAAAAGGGGAAGAAATGAGTAATTAAAAAAAAGAAAAAATAAGGAATATGTAATTGTAAATTTTTTTTTATTAAAGCTTGATCACATTTTGTAGTCATCTCCCAATTGTTCACAAAGATATTCAAAGATTATCAGCTGCACAGTTTTAAAACATTTTTAGCAATAAGGACAATGTTTTCTGGTGTCAAATTTCCATCAATATATTCTTTCATAGACACCTCCAAACCAGCTTCCTTCAAATATTGCAAACGCCCATAATCAATAAGTCTTTTACAATTGCGACCAATCTGTTCACGCTCCTCAACAGAAAATTTCAGATTTGTCCTATGAAACAAAAAAAAAAAAAACAATTATGAGGACAACATTCATAGCTAATTTAGTAACAGAACAAAAAAAATAATGCGAAAAGAATTGCAACTTATTTAAAGCCAGAAAATATTTTTAGATTGTAAGAAATCTTATTCTTTTTTTTTTAGATAATAATGGTTTTAAGACACAAGTCCAACTAAACCCACAGCTGTGCGGAAAAAAGGTGGATTCATACTTAATCAGAATTTAATAAACAAGAAATCATAATGCGTATATAAAGAGGGGGATCAATTCTATAATACAATTAATATATAAGCGGATCCCTCTTTTTATGGCCATTGTAGTTTCTATACATTTATATTCCAGAGAATGTAAATAAATCTAAAAGACATGCCTGTGTGGCTAACCAATATTTGATTGATTTATTTATTGCAGGTTATTTTCTTTGATGATGCATTTTAAAACTGTATAAATTATTTATTCATTGTATTTTGTCCAAACTATTATGCTCGAATCACTTTTGTTCTAGTTGTTGTTTCTATGGATTTTCTTAAAATATGTTAAACATAATTCATATCATAAAATAAAATAAAAAATAAATATATAAATTAGATATATTCTTAATTCTTTAAATTTCGCATTTACATTTGTTTGTAAAATATTAAAATAAGTCTCCAGTTTTTCATTTAACTGTCATTCATTTACATTTGTGTCTGACAATATTTTCTTTAATTCTTGGAATTTGGGTATTAAATTGAAAATTTATTTACATTTTCTTTTCAAAAAATGAAACTGGATACATTTTATAAAAAAAATAAAATAATGAACTGGATATATGTTTAAGATTAACTTTGGCATATGAGTCTATAAAATATGGAAATGTAATTAGGTAATTTTCAAAATGTAACCAGTTGACTTTTTTTAATGATTATTTATTTACTAATTCTAGGAGTTTGGGTCCTATTTTGGAGGTTAAAATTAAATTATTATATTTTCTTAAAAAACAAAAAATAATTAATATATTTTATAGCTGTTCAACTTTTACAAACAAGTGTTGTCTTTTAGTAATTTTTTTGGTTTCCTTAAGCTGTTATAATGGTGGTATGGAAGATAAGAAACATATTTTTAAGTGAGTATATGTTCCATTTTTTATGTACTAGTGCTTTCCATGCTAGAGACCCCTATTTGGATGTTTAATAAAATTTATATTTAATCTTCTGCTCACTGGATGATGAACTCAATACCCTGAGAAGTAATTTTCTTCTAAGTGGAAGAAGCAGGCCAAAGACTCCAAATTCCTTGCATGTATGCTGATAAAGTTAAAAATTGCATGTGATATAACTTTTAATGGAACTTCATCTCTACCTCTAGAGGAACAAAGGCACTCAGTGAATCTGAGTATTCAAACAACTCTAGCATTTCTTATAAAGAAGAAGCACTTCAAATGATTTTCAGTTACAAGCACCAAGGCCAATGGGTTGCAGTATACTATTACTCTAAATCATTGATATTACATCTCTGTCCAATTCTGTAATCAAAATTTTAGTTCCAATGAAAGGCAGAAATGATTATTTTTGATGGCTTTTATTGAATGATATTGAACAAGTGTCATCCACATTTGTCTTTAGATGGGACATTGATATAATGTTCCAGGAATATTGGCTATAGCAGAGGCTTATGAACAAATTTAGACTACAAATCCCCATTCCAACTGTCTAGAAAGTCTTTTTCACCAGTTTCAATAAATGTATTTTTATTCATTTAAGTTTTTTTAGTTTGAAGATGAATGAGTTTAAAGCTTTACAATAAGCATTTGTTTGAAGAACTGCTTAATGATTCATTTCATGGAAATTTTGTAGTCATTACCGTTCCGTTTTTGACAAGTTAAAAATTGTATAAATTCACAAAATTTTCTGACATGAGATACAATATACATATCTGAGAAAAGATATTCATACTATAGTGGAAATAACTGTTTCATTGAATTCGTCATCTCAAAATTAGTAAAGTTTAAAGTTTCAGGTATGTACCTCCAAATTATATTACTTTTTATGACAAGTTCAGGATGGTATACTTTTGACCTGTTTTTACCTTTCTGCCAAATTGTAATTCTGTCTGTTTTTACATGGTGTAAATAGAGTTTTTTTTATTGATGTACCACTGAAAAAATTAGCTTCATCTCAATTGTGCTTCCTTTTACTTCAAAACTACCTATATGATATTACATTTATAATGATTCTTAACAATTCTGAAGCTTGCATCTTCAGTTATCCACTATATATACTTCTGGCCTAAAGCACATACAATGGAAAACTGATAAACATTGAAAGGACATGAATTTGGTACCATTTTCTATGGTTTGTCAAGATCTCTATGCCTGTATTAAAGGTTTTTAGATATATTGAAAATAAAATTTTACTTTGGGATACCTAATTTTAGATTTTATAATTATATGTTTTTTTTTAAAGAAGAATAAAAAAACAAATTTAAGTAAACCGTAAAGAGGTTTTCTTCACCTAATTTTGGATTCCAAATTTTGTTCATCTTTGTTGTTCTCGTGTTCATTGATACTGTAGAATTGATCATTTTCTTTTATTGCATCTTCCATTGCATCATCTTGCATGTCATCTGCAATCAAGGAAATATAAAAGACAGTTATATCATTAATGTTTTTTTTTTCTCTTTCAAAAGAATTATTGAAAATTTGAAAGAAATTTACATCAGCTGAAGCAATCAAGTTAATTGTTTAGTTGAAAAAAATAACTCTAAAAAATTCATTTTTATTTAAATAAGCATTAAGACACATGAAAAAGTTCTTGGTAGGACTCACTTCCCAAAATCTAACCAAATATCAAAATTTTTAAATCTCTTCTTGGTCAAGCCTTTTCAACACCCACTTATTATTGCAATAAGGAAATCATAAGAATAATTTTTAGCAAATTATATATTAGTAAAATATATATCTTGGATCCTGATATAGAAATCATTATATTATATTGATCAATATATAACAAACATCAGGGCCGTCTCAAGGTACTGGCAACTCGGGCAGTCAACCAGTACACATCATGCCACTGTGTCATGTTTGGGATCATACTTGCAGTCATCTATGACACAAGACAGATGAAATTCTTTGGCTATTTTGTCAATAGAAAATGATCTTGTAAAGAAGATAGATGTAGAAAGTGCCATGAAAAGACTAGCAGATCTAAAGACCAGAAAAGTGTTTTAGATAGGATAGTAAATATATTCTTTAGTTTGTATTAAGTTGTATAGTGTAATAAACTCACAGTTTTTCTCCTTGTGAAAATTTAAAAAAAATTTTCTTGTAAAGGCATTGTTCAGCTTGCCTGGAGTGCCAGCAACCCTAGTGCCTGCCCTGGCAAACCTGCATATATTTTTGTTATCTCTTCCAAAATAGTCATGATAGAAGCACTCTTATTTACATGTTCTTAAAATTTTATAATTTTTCATGTAATCCATTTCCCAATATGGATTTAGTCTACCAACTTTAAACACACTTTCTACTTCATATCACACATGTGAAAAAGTTCTCAGATAGTTTGCTTTTTTCCATTTAATATTTGTTCACACTAATACTAAAATGAGAGAGATACCTCCTCATTCAATATGGCCACCTTATAAATTTGTAAAACATGGGCGATAACTTCTGTTGGTAACAAGGGACGTAACTCCTATTGTTGAGTATAATCCAGTTTTGTTTCACTGCTTTGTAAATTAACTTTCACTAATTTTTGAGATTCAAAATGCTTCAAAATTAAATTTTATTATGGTTTTTGCTTTCAATGATCAAGCTCAGAAATGAAAAAAAAATTAATAAATTTTATTTAATAAACATCCCAAAGAAGTTCAATTCAGTTATGTGAAAGAGAAGTGGTAAAGTGCTTCCTTTAATTGAAAAGGTGAAAGTTCTCAACTTAAGGAAAAATAAATGTATGCAAGAACAAACCTTCTATTAAACACAAATATTATTACAGTAAATAGTCAAAAGTGTTATATTTTATCATTAGCTTTTGTTGTTAATCTCTTATTATGCCTAATTTTAAATTAAGCATTATCAGATATATAGGTAGGGAAAAAAAAAGGTATATACAGGGTTTGGTACTATCCCAACTTCTCCCAGGCATCTGTATGAGGGTTGGTAGGTTTCAGACATATCCACTCTAGATAAAAAGGACTACTATACTTTTGAAAGAAACAAATTAGAAGATAAATATTGAATAAATGGGTTTCAGAGAAAAAGAACAGCAGAGTTATGCAAGGACAATTTCTCTGGCTAGCATAGTAAGTGCAATCAAAACAAACAAAATAAAATTCTAAAATTCTTGAAAAGCATCTATTCCACATTCTCTAGCAGAAACAATGTTCATAACATAATTATTGGATGAAAGATGAAAAAATTCTGGAATAATTAATAATATACACATACATGTGTAGATAAAAATAAACAGTATAGAAAAAGTATGAAAGTTAGTTTTTATAATACTTGCTCAGGTTGTTGATGCAAATAGTAATAGCAGTTATAAATGCATCTGATATATTAGGCCATTTTATTTTTTACCACAAAGTTTTAAAATCATGTTGATGTTTTATAGCAAAGGATAAATCACACCTCTCAATCAAAGGAACTTTAGAAAACTTTAATATTTTGTATTAAGAAAAACAACTGAGTGAGAAAAAAAGAACGGCAAATCTCCAGAGGATAAACAGGAAAAAGTGATTGAATGAAAAATGAATACTGTTACTTTCTGTTAGAATTTCTACAAAAAGATGATATCACCATTAAACACAGAGTGGGATTATTCGGTGCACCAATATCACTACTGAGTGTGACATAAGGTTATGGTCTAAAGTGGGTTTAATGTTAATACTGTTGTTGAAATTGCTTAAGTCTCCTTGGCACTTCACCTTTTGGGGACGCCTCAAGTGCCAGGTAATGACCCCAGCCCCTTCACAAAGGACAGGTACTGCTTGGGGGGGATGGCCTCTTGGAGCTTGAGCTACTATTGATTTCAAACTACTCCAACTAAAGCTGATAGTGATATGTTAATGTAAATATTAGAATGGGGACTCTAAACAGTTTTCCCTAAGAAAGATAATCTTCACTTCCTACTCTTACATCCATATCACACACCTCATTCAGTATCCCTCCACTTTGAATGGTTCTTGAGCTTTGTATTGGGTGAACATTAGTGTGTGTATGTGTGTGTGTGTGTGTGTGTGTGTGTATGTATATATATATATATATATATATATAAGTTTATGTGTGAACATTTATGGTCTTTAAACAATACAATTATTCTTTCAGAGCAATTTCCTCATCATTTGTTATCACATTTCAGTTACTGTACTCTTCAAACTTCATCAGGTTACTTTGGTCATCTTTTTTCAAAATTTCAAATGAAATAATTTACTTGATCAATGAGAGTATATCATTATCATTCTTTATCTATCACATCTGCACTCTTGGAAATTTTAAAATACAATTATCAATTCTTTTTTACAATGCTGCTCTGATTCTCAATTGAGCCATTGTGTATTTCTGCACTACCTGATCCGTGGATTAAAACTAAACCTTCCAAGGAAGCAGATGAAGATTACCTAAATGCAATGGAAAATCAGAAGATACAGAGGCCTAAATATAAAAGCAACAAAAATGAAGAAAATAGTCTAAAAGGTTTATTATATCAAAAATTGTATTAAAATCTGAGAATTTCATTAATTTTGGAAGGACAATTTAATAAAGGGTCTTGTAGTATATTTAACTAGCTTTATAGTCATCCCAAGTAAGAATATCTTTCTACAGAAAGAGATTTATTTTTGTCATAAGATTTCCATAAACTTATAATAGTGCCAACTACAACCTGCATTCACAGTTGTCAAAATTAAATGTTATTAAAACATTTAATTTGTAAGACGCATGTATTATAGTACACTTTATGAATTTAAGCACAGTACTAAACTGGTGCCATGGTCTCATCATTTTACAGGTGAAATAGCTAGATGTAGGCATAAGTTCTATGCTAACAGTTCATTATTTACATTGTTCGGACTGTTGTCCTCATTTTCATTACTGTATTCATAACATTTCAACCACTGTATGCTCCTGCCTTCTTCAGGTGATTGGAATTTCAAGCTGAACCCTTTATTTCATCCAACAGGGTATATTGTTCTAGTTCCACGTGCCATACCTCCTCCGGATGTCTCAGTTATCTCCCTTTAACCCAACTCTCCAAGTTTTTGTTCACCACTGCAGTAGCCAAGTATTAAACTCACAACTCTTTGGGTCAAGTTACTGGATCCAACCAATGCTTTTATTCACTGGGTTATGTATGAATATGGCAATAAAGATGAGGACAACGGTCCAATCAATGTAAATAATTACAATACCTCATCTCAGAAATATAGACAGACTTTAACAGTTTCTTTTCTCACACTTCTCCCTTTCCTAGTCAACTTTGAACTTCAAAAATTTAAATGCAATGTCAATCATTATCTTCTCTCTTCTTAATTCTTGTATTGTTATTGTTCTATAGGTTATTTAATGCTGAAATATAAATATTTTGAACACATTTTTATGGCTTCAACTAAATATATATATTATAAATATGTATTGTTAATAATTTAACTATAAATATGTATTGTTGGTATTTGGCTTTTACATAAAAGTGTATTTTGATACTTTAATAATGTTTTGTTTTTGTTTAGGGGTTCAGTATTTGCTCATAACTGGGGTCGTAACAGGTACTACCACCCCAGGTCAGAGTGGATCTGGGAACAGTAGCAATGAAGAGGTAGTTCCACATCCTTCAAAACATTCAATCTCTTGATTGGAGACCTTTGCTGCTGGGTGTAGTTTATTGCCATACCCAGGACTAAGAGAAATAGTGTAAAAAAAAGTTTTTGCAAGAGACAATTTTCTGAAAGGACTAAAATTACACTTTATTCTTAGTTCAAAAGTAATACACTTTTTATCAAGCAAACATAATTTCTCCAACTTTCTTATATCAGATCATTAAAAAAGTATTTAAATAAAAATCATTAAAACAAAATTATCTTCTCACTGTGTTTTGAGTTGGTCATCTCTTGTTCCCTCCATCCTTTCCAACTACAAGTGGCCCAACTGCACATACTGGACATCAGGTGAAACTGTGAACTGGTTAGATTATTCTCCTGAAAGAATTTTTTGCCAACATAGGCTGTCCAAGAACAGCGATGATGGCAACAAGGTGCTAATACAACACCTGCCAGCTGACTGAAAGCAAAAAAAAAAAAATTGTTTAAGAGTATTAATAGTAGCAAAAAATAATTTTCTTTCTTTCCAAGAGATTTTTGCAATGTCAAACTCATCTTTTATATTACATTTGCTGTTACACCATTCTCCAACTTGTTCAATTTGTAAGGGAAGAGAGGAATCTTTTATTTTCTGAAAAAGGTGGCACTTAGACTTTTAATAGACTGAATGCCTGCAGAAGGCTATAGAATGAAATGTAAAACCAAAAGTAACATAAAGAGTTCAGTTTGAACAACTCTTGTAATATGATAATGACACTTCTCAAAATTATAAAATGTTTTTGTTCTTGTAAATAATAAGGTGAATAAAGTAAACTTTGGCATATAAAAACAGTACATCTTTGAAGGAATCAAACTATTAGGCTATCATTGACCTTTTTAAATTTGTTACATCTTTGCATATACATAAAATAGAATTGATTATTTTAATTAATATGTAATATCGTTACATTATTGTTTAATGTATACTCCCTTTGCATTACCGTTTAATGTATGCTCTCTAATTGACGTTAAAGAATGTTATTTTTGCTCCTTGATATGTCCTTTTTCCTCTAACACCTTTCTCTTCCTCCTGGTAACTAATAAATGCTGGTTACATTTTGTGTCGGCTCTCTCAAACCCAAGTCTATCTTGTTTTCTATGATTTAATGTAACACATATTGTAAAAAAAGTCTATGAGTGCAACCTTCAATTGACTAAAGCATTTAAATTATTAAGTTTACAACTTAACAGAAAATCATCTAAGAATTAGAGATTTTAATGCACAAATCTTAAACTTTCCTTTCTATTGTTTCAATATTTAACTGTCCAGTTCAATATTCTTTAAAATTTTATTTTGTATGATTTACAACCAGCTTACCTGGAATGACTGATTTTCGTTTCAGAATTTGACATAATATTCTGCTTATTTCTCATTGACTCAATCAAACAACGTAATGCAAAATCTGGTAAAAGAAAAACATCAAGAATTAGGAAGAATATATTCAATTGTTTGAAAAGTAAATCTCATTTGAAAGCTTTTGATTAGGATCAACTAAATAAATCTAGATTCTGGTTGTAATGTAAATAACAATTCCCAGTTATACATTTGTTTTCTTGTATTCTACAATATTTCCACTATGTGCCAAAATTTAATTTATGCATGGCGATGATTTTTAACATATGATAGATCCACTATTGCATATTGTATGAATTTTACTAAATTAGATATGCAATAAAGATAATGAGAAATGCTTTTCTCGTTTATCAATTTATTTTCAATGAGTGTACAATAATGTCTGTGAATTGGAAACTGTAACCATTACTTTGGGAAGTGGAAAGATTAAAATGTTTGAATAATGACCAGTCAAGATCAGCAGCTGTTTATCAAAACATAATAGAATTTTCTAAAATAGGGAAAACTCCACATCTTATCATTCGCAAACTCCATAAAAAAGATTTGAAAAGCATCAGAGAGGCTTAATGACCAGTCACTTGAAAATAACACTGTTAGATTTTATGATGCAAATCAATGTTTTCACAATAAAATTGTTACGGGTATGCCACTGATTTTCTGACACCATTGGTTCCAGAACTGTGCCAGATTACCCATTTTACCAGACCAACAGAAGTCACATTATAACAATACCTCTGATCAACTAATTATGCATCTTGTCATCTCTACAGATTTCCTTAATCTTAATTCATAAGTTAATGACTGAATAAGTTCATGATGAATTCTACAATAAAATATCCATATAATTTCCCCTATTGCATTGCTAAATATTTGAGATTAATTTTAACACAATATTGTAATAACAATCATAAATATGAATGTTGGTCGTTATTTTAAGAAGTGGATACAAATGAAAATATTTGAAATTGACAACTTTTTCCATTTCACTAAAACAGCCATTAAACACTTCTATCTTCTTTCATTTTCTCACTGAAACAAAGTAGTATCTTTCCCCTCCTTCCATGCAATCAAAACAGAATAGTCCATTATTTATGAGGTATTGGCAGGGTGTAACAGTCATGCAAACTAATGATGGGAAGGACAAGCACAATTATAATCGGATTTATTTACAATATGATGAACAATCCTTGGATTGCATAAAATCTCAATCCATCAAATAAGTTATTGTAAATATTTTAAAGGAAAAACTATTATATATCGAAATTTACATGTTACATTTATCATATAAATATAAACATATCCTGAAAATTTTACTAATACAAGTTGATTAATACAGATTTTATTGTAAAAACAATGATTTGCATATTAAATTCAAACAAAAAGAAAAAAAACTGAACAATTTAATGGCAAACTTGGACCTTTGATTCTGCAAAAAAACAGTGTGCCAAAAGAATGGTGTTTTTCCTTGACACCGCTATTATTTTAACTACCTTCACTCCTTGGCAATGTTTGTTTTAAAAAACAATAATTAGAATTTTAATAAAAGCTAAACATGTGAAAGTGAATTTATACATTTTCTTTGTTCTTGAGAATTAACAACAAAAATAACACTATTTATTCTATTGTTTATTGGAATGGTTGACAAAACATCAGCTAATTGCCAATTATTTCTAACTTAGAAAATGGTAAATAATAAGGATTTCCTCATAGTTGGTTCACATATTTTAATAATTTATTTAAGTTTATAAATTTATGAAAAAAAAAAATTGTTTTCATATTTATTTCATTATAAATTGGTAAATGATAAATATCGCATTGCATTACTTTTAATTGTATTAGTTTTTTAGAATGTTGGAAATATAAAATTATTCTTAAATAATCTAATAAATATATAGTTTAATATTTTTATTGTAAATTCTTAAGAACAAAAACAATGTATAAATTTAGTTTCATACGCTTAGGCTTTATGACAATTCTAATCAATGCCTTTTAAAGCAGTAAACATTGCTGATTAGTGAAGGTAGTTAAAATAATAGTGGTGTCAAAGGAAGAACCATCCTTCTGACACTCCCTTTTTTGCAGGCATGGAGGTCCAAGTTTGCAAATTTGTCTATTATGTTTGTTTGCTTGCAGATGACATGCAAAGTGATACTATAGAAGACATGAAAAAGAAAATGATCAATTCTACAATATCAATGAACATGAGAACAACAAAGATGAACAAAATTTGAAATCCAAAATTAGGTGAAGAAAACATCTTTACTGCTTACTTAAATTTGGTTTTTATTCTTCTATCAAAAACAATAGAATTATAAAATCTAAAATGGTAACCTTTTCTTTTTTGTGCAATAATCATTTTAAAATTATTAAATCTATTAATTTTTATTGACAATTTTGATCAGTTGTATTTATGTTAGTATTTTTATTTTTGTATACAGTAAGTTAGCTATTTTTTATTTTGTGATTCTAATGAAATATGCATACAAATTTTGAACCTTAGTAAAGTTTAATGTTGAGGTGTTTATTAACCAGTGCCTACACTTTTTATCTACTATACAATTTGATCTGAAAATTTCCCATAAGCCCTAAGAAGACAAATTATCCAGGAGATTGCCATATAAATACCTTACAAATATTTTTTTTATGTTCTTCAATCAGCCATTTTCTTTCTCCATTTATTTAAACTGTTACTGAAAATGAAAAGTGAATAATTTATGGCAACAATAGACAAAGCAATGGCTATTATTCAAGGAATATTTTGTTCCAATATCTAAACTAGAGCATTGTGAGTTTTAGTTTTATATATATTTTAAAGTATATAGTAGGATTGATTTTTTTTTTTGCTAATGTTCACCCAATCCAAAGCCCACACAGCCTCAAAATAGAGGGTTACTGTGTGGAGTTATATCAGTGTAAGTAAAAGCAAGAAGTGAAATTCTTGGAGCTATGCAGGAAATATAATAGCTAATTCTAGACTTGAAGATGTTAAGATTTAATTAGTGGATGAAAGCATAGTTAGGAGTAGAAATAGACTTTAGAATGAAAGCCAATCCTAAATAGGAAACAAAAGATAAAGCTCTCCTCCTGTTCAAAAGACTGGGGAGGACTGTGATAGGTAAACATAACTACTCCTATTAGGAAAGGAAAAAAATAGTTATAATTACTGAATAAAATTTCAGATTTCAGGCAGAGACGTTAGAAGTACAGAAGTGAAGGAACCATAAACCCAATCCTAAACAGGAAACAAGGGATAAACCTCTACTCCTGTTCAAAAAACTGGGAGGAGTATGAACATTATTTAGTATTTATTATAAGCTTTGAGAATTGTTGCTATGAACCTGAATGTGTACAGAAAAGTTTATGCAAAAATTCACACTTTTGGTTATTATGACAATGCGAACCAAAGAGAAGATAATTTGGTAACTTCAAATTTTTATTTTCTCAACTCACTCAATTCTTTTCAAGTGAGTTGAGAAAATAAAAATTTGAAGCTGCTAAATTATTTAAAAGTACAAAAATGATCATTTCAGCACAATTGCTATTCTTTTCTTCCATGAATACAGATTTGTTTTTAATAAGAAATCTGTGGATGTCCAGGTGGTGTAATAGATAGCAGTTCAGAATGAGAAATCGAAGAGGCAAGTTCAAATTACAGTTGAGATTGTTACATTCACTTATGTGCAAATACACATGGGAAAGGTATGAATCCATTATGCAATGAATATTCACTTACAAAAAGAAAGAATTATTCTTACAATCCAAAAATATGTTTCAGCTTTAAATAAACCATAAAAATCAATCAATTAATAAGAAATGAAAAGATCAGTTTCATAACAGGCTGTTATTGATAATGATAGGGATTCTGTTCTTAATAAGTAAGTCTGATTTTTATGTTACATGTGAATTCCATTTTGAAGATTGTGATATTCTTTTTGACATACAAAAAATTATTGACAAAAAAGAAAGACCCAAGAAGAGACTACTAATTCAATACTTTGATACAATTTTATGAGCGAGATCTTAAAAGATATATCAATAAATCAATAATATTATGATAATATCACTATAGTATTTATGAATTTAAATGTTACGGTTCATGTAGAGTAGTCAGATTTTTTACTGCTACTGCTTGAGCAACTAAAATAATTATGGGAGATTTTTTTTTTTTTATCTCACTGCTTGTTCACTTTCTTACTCCTCTACCACGATTATGCTAAGTTTTATCAAAATACATGGTGTTGGAATAACATGCAGGGAGAAATATATTCATACCATTTTCAAGAGAATTGATGCAATGTGAAGGTAAACTGTCTCAGCTGCAATATGAACTCAGTTGACCAATTTTATTTTCTGCACTTATAGCAAATCTAATAACAGTTCATTGTATATGGTTGGTTCAGAGTAATTTTCACATCTTTGTTGTTTTTTCCTCCATTTTGACCAGCTCCCCATCCCCAAATTAGTACTAATAACAATTCTTTAAAACCAATAACAAAAATCTATTTAGGAAGTGAAATAAATTAATTTATCTTTATACTTATAACATAAACAATTATCAATAAAAAAAAAAAAAAAATTTTTACCCTCTTAAATTTTTTTTTTTGTTTACAAAGATCAGAAGTATTAATCTATTAATGCACACTGTCAAATTTTGTGAACAGTGGGCATTAATGAACTATAAATAGAAACCTATAATTAATAACGTTTTAGAAACCTTCAATTAATAAGATATGTTTTTTTAAGAAAACTTCAAATAATAATTATTTTTAGAATTTTTTTAATTAGTAACATGTTTTTTTCTTAGAAACCTTCAATTAGTAGTGTTTTTTTAGAAATTTTTAATTAGTAACAATTTTTTTTAGAAACCTTCAATTAGTAACGCATTTTTTTAGAAACATTCAAGAAAGAACATTTTTTAAGAAACCTATACTACCAATGCTTGATTTTTTTTTTAGAAACCTTCAATCAATATGGGATTTTTTAGAAGCATAATTAATACTAGAATTTTACAGTAGGCATTAATAGTTTAAATGAGTGTATGTGTTTGTGTGTTAATGTTCTCTTTTATCAGCTTAAAAAAAGATTAACTCTTCAACATCTTAGTATTTTCAACAACTTTATGCACATCATGTATTACCAAATAACTTTCAACAGCAGTAATGAGTGAAAACAACATAGTACCAAAAAAGTCAATTTACGGTGTGGCTTTAAACTTGAAAAAAGCAGTAGAAACAGCAGCCCACAGACTATGAACAGAGCTTAGTAAAGATGAAGTTGGTGACTATACTGAAAAAAAGTGGTTTAAGTCTTCAGTTAGAAATAATTAACTTTGTGAAGAACAGCAGGTAAGTATTGATGATGATTATAAACAGAAGAAATGTGCAGAATCTAATTTGCTTCAAACAAACTTGTGATAAAAACACCTATATTACATCTGAAAAATAAGTAAAATGGACTTAAAGAAATAAAAAAAGACAAGATGCACAAATTTTATTGGTTATGTAATATACAACTTACCGGTGCCTGCACCACAAAGGTGTTTACCCATTCCCACTACTGGTTGTTCACTGTTTGCAATGTCTTCCACTTTTGCTAATAAATAGAAAAAATAAAATCTTAATATTGGTCCACAACTTTTTACAATGACAGTTGCTTAAATAGGGATTATTTAATAATAAACAAAATTAAAAACATTTTTTTTCTTTTTTTCTGAGTATATCATGGTTGAGAATGGAAGAGTATGGACAATTGTTACAGTTTTGAATTCAGAGTTACCCTTCTTCTAACCTGGTCGGCAAATATGGCTAGAGAGCCCAGTCTGCCCTGCTATTTAATTCATAAATGGATTAATATCTTTCCCAAGGGTATTTGTGAATAAGTGAATGCAACAAACCTGACTGGAATTCAAACTTGACTCTGATTTCTCATTCCAAGCTGCCATTCATTACACCACCCACACATCCTAAATCCGTGATTCTCATCAGGATAATCCAACTTTAGCATTAATGTACTTATCAGGCATTGAATAAATGAATAAGTATTAAACTTTTTTCAAGTAATTCTTTTCACTATTCTTTGATGGATATTACATGCATTAAAGAAATGATTTCAATTTTCGTTACCCATCTGAAAGCACTTAACAAAAACATTGACTATTATTTTTTGTCACTGAGCGCAGAAAAGTATGATTGGATTCAAAATCCCTTTATAAATGTTCCTTCTGATATTGAACTTCAATTATATGAAGAAGAAGAATTGGCCACCATTTCTAGTGATTGAGGGTTCAAAATAAAACATTCGAGAGTACCCATTGATACAGAAGGCTTTATCAGTCCTATTGCAATTTTTTTCCTACTTATTTATGTGAATTAGGTTTCTCAACCATAAATAATATAAAAAATAAAAAAACGAGAAAGACTATGCCCAACTGAAGAAATGAGTCTGCTTACATTTGACTAAACATTGAAGAAATTGCAAAAAAAAAAAAAACAACACCAGGAACAGGTCCTACACTAAATAAGCTGCACAAATAGTTGAATAGAAACATTGAAATAAAGTAAATTCATATTTGTGTGTGTGTGTTTTTTAAATCTATGGTTTTATTTCATAACATTTAAATGTATACCCTTTAAAAATTTTGCTAAGTGTGCCATGATATATTCATTTGTTTCTAGGTGTGCTGTTGCTTAAAAAGGTTGTGAAACACTGGTCTAAGACATCCTATATACAGGCTGAACCTCATTAATCTGCCAAGCTTAAGACTGGATAGGTGCTGAAGTAGCAAATGTTCTGAATCAGTGAAACTTAAAAGAAAAAATATATGTATCTATTACGCTGTACAAAATTTGAAAGAAAAACTTCTTTAAAATACTGAAAATTTTATCAAAATCTCATAATTAGTTGATTTTTGATAGATTTTCAAAATCTATGTGGTTTTTGTCTAAAGATTTTCTAATGTAAATTATTATGGTTATCTTTTTATTTATAAGTAAAAACTTTTTACATTAGAACTTTTAAAAAATTTCTCCAGTCATTGCATATAATATTTATATTGGAATTTTCCCCAATTTATCTTATTCAATGAATATTTTTGATCTGCATTCAAAAGAAACCTGAAAATATTATTAGTATAGAATTTTCACATTTCTTTCTTTTTCATCCTGATATAATTTTGATCAATCTGGGCTGGAGCTGCTGGTTTTCACTTTCCAGTCTTGATAGAGTTCAAGAGCATCTATGCGGGCCTTATTGGCAATGAATTATTTTCCACAGATGAAATGGAAAATGGGAAATGTTCCAACTAGTTACACCTTTAATTCCACCAATTCTAACCTTCACAGCTAAGATCCACCATGCTACGTACAGTGGGTCGAATCAGCCTCATTCTTTTTGTATTCCATTAATAAAAAGAAAGCTTCACTTGAACATTTTGAATTGTGATCTTTTCAAAGTAAATTTATTTTGTTGTTAAGAAAATGATTTATAAGAACTGTTGTTTAAAAAGAATGTTGTTAAAGTCTGTTTGTTGTTAAAGAAAACATTTATACTAACTGTAGTTTTCTAAGAGAAAACTGATTTGTATTTGAAAAAACTGTTAACCTGCCTTGATAATTTAGGGTGCACAAGGGAAATTTTGTGTAAGGTCTATGTTGTAATTTGTACTGCTTGTATATTGTAAAAAATATTTTTGTCATTGTAATAAATGTTTGTTTCTTTGCAAATTTCACTCAGTATAAGATTTTTGTGTTTTTTTGTTTGTGCCATTCTCACCTCTTTTATTGTAATAAATCCTTTTAAGGAAAGCAAATGTATATCAAGGATGACACTAACTTCACCAGATTGGCTGAAAAGAAAATGTGAAATTAGTTCTTACCTAAGTTTAAATGTTCCAGATCGATGTTGAGTCTCTGAAACTTTGGACCACCTTCTTCATAATGATGTTGTCGATCAAACTGAAAAGTAATATATTAAACTTATATGTATTTTAAATAATGAAGAAATTTCAAAATGGATTCCCATGAATTCTTGTTAAACCTGTGTATAAGCTTATAAAAATTGTTACCTTGTTTTAATATTTAGATAAAACATTGTCAACTACCATTAATTTCTGTGATATTTTTGGCAAAGTTTAACTTTCATAACTACAAAAAAAACCAAAAAAACAGTGTTTCAAATGGACAGTTTTTCTTGTGACACTATTATTGTATATTACCAAGACTCCCTCAGTGATGTTTATTTACAAGTTTATAAAATGTGAATCAAGTATGTGATATTATTTACTATTTTAGAAAGATTTATTATTTATCATTTTATAAAGAAATAAATTTGAAAAATTTTTTTATTCAAAAGTTTATAAAATCTACAAAATTATCAAAATATGTGAACCAGCTACAATGCAATATTTATTATTTACTATTATATAAATAAATGACTATGAAAAAAAATTTTTTATTCATAATTTTATTAAAAATATCTATGAACTATAGAACAAGAAAATTTAAGTAAACATGCTTTTTCCAGACATTATACAAATTATTTTATATCTCAGATTACCATGTTTTAATTTTGTAATTTTTTTTATATTCATGATCTAAGATGACTAAGCAATAGAAATCCAAGGCCTGAAACTCCAACAATTATAAGTTATCTCCCTTTCTACTCTATTTTTTGAAAAACGTAATTTTGAAAAAGTCATTCCTAATTTTTCTAAAAATGCCTAGAAAATCTGCAAATTGTCAGCCAAGTTCTGACTAATGAAGAAATCTTAAATGAAGAGTGGACTCTTTAACTAAAGCAATTGGCAAAGCTGGCGAATTGGGTTCTTTGGAATGGTTGGCAAAACATTGGCAAATTGCTAATCGATTCAAACTTTATAAAATGGTAAATAAAGATTTCATTATAGTTAATTCGCATGTTTTTATAAATTTCTGAATAAAAATTTTTTTTAATATTTATTTCTTTATAAATTGATAAATGATAAATATTGTGTTGTATGAGTTGGTTCGCATATTTTTATGATGCTGTAAATATAAAATTATTTTTGCAAATAAGCTATTAAATGTTTAATAATAATAAGCATTTAATAATTTTGTTGTAAAATGTCAAGAACAATGAAAATATACAAATTCACTTTCATACATTTAGGTTTTATTTAAAATCAAATCATCACTTTTTAAAACAATAAGAATGCCAAGGAAGTGAAGCAGTAAATAGTAATATTAAAAGTAACAAATACAGTAATAACAGTGCCAAAGGAAAAACTGTCCTTCTGATATTTTTTTTTTTGTGGGCATATTTCCTTTCAGTTCAGTTTTTTTAGCTTTTTTTGATGGTATGAATAAACTAGTAATAAAATATTACCTAAACCACCAAAATGCAAACTGAGGTTACAATTATCTTAGCTGACTTAGAAATGGTGCATATACTTAGAAATGCATTTATTTTCTGATGATATTATGGAATTTCAGTCATTAAATATTTTAACAAATGCAAAATAACAATGATTATGATCTAAGCCCACAATTCAGCTCCAGTATTTATTTTTTCAAAATGGTATTTCATTCACTTGCAATAAGTAATGATCTCAAATGACACCCATTTACCAACCTTGTGTCTGATATGGCCTTTTTCTACTAAGATAAACAAAGAATTTTTATCATCAGATGTAGCTTTTTGGACCCAGTGAGAGAGCTGACCTAAAAAAAAAAAGATATGCTCAATATGAATAAAAATATATATATACACACACACACACACACACATACATACAATACAAGCAATTAATTGAAATGTAATATTAATTAAATACAGACTATTGTTGATTCTGTTAAATATCTGTTTATATTTCTGAGATGAGATATTGTAACTATTTACACTACACTGTTTAGACAATTGTCCTCATCTTTATTGTCATATTCAGGACACATAGCTCAGTGGATAAAAGTGTTGGTTGAAGTAATCCAGTGACTTGACCCAAAGATTTGTGAGTTCAATACTTGGACACAGTAGAGGTGAACAAAACCTAGGAGAGTAGAGTTACTAAATGGAAATAGCTGAAGCTGAAATATCCAGAAATGGCATGGCATGTGGAACTAGAACAATCTATCCCCAGTGGATGAAATAAAGGGTTCAGTTCGAAATTCTAATGTATATCACCTGAAGAAGGCCAGAGCATACAACAGCCAAAACATCATGAATTATGGCAATAAAGATTAAGCCAATTGTCTGAACAATGTAAATAATTTAAACAGTGCTTAATATCCTGAGGATAGAGCTACATATAGTGTAATATAAATCTTATTAAAAATGTGGCAAGTACATGTAAAATCAAAAAAACAATTATATAGATGCACAGATAGAATATATTGCAAGCTCAATTTTACCATGAAACTTTTAGTTATGCATATGCATGTCATGTTTTTAATAAGACCTAAAAAAGTTAACATCTATAAAGCATAAAAAGTCAAAGACAAAAAAAGCTTTGTACATTTTTGGGGAAGGTATTGTGAATGATTGAACTTGTCAAAAGTAATTTGTTTTGTGTTGGAGATTTTCTTTTCTTGATGCTCTTATGGTTAACAGCAATCAAGTCATTATTTAAGAATTTGTCATATGATAATATATGGGGAAAATAACTGACAAGAATATGTAATATAATAATATATGGGGAAATAACTGACAAATATCCTAATCAAGTAGTGAAAGTCATTTACACCAGCTTCAGAATATATTAGCCACTTTCATTTCTGGCTTCCACATAAGTTAAACAAAAAAAGAAAACGTCCTTCCAGATTGTATTTCTGTGTGTGATCATCTATTCAAATGCAACAAAAATGTTTAAGTTTTGTTGTGAAGTAAATAGTACACCCTGGTGACTATATGAACTAGTCTATAACTATAAATAAAGAGCTCCAGGTCAGAGGTAAGGAAAAGAAACCATTTGGAATTAGACTAATTAATACAGGCATCATAGCAAGTAGCTGAAGCATTACTTATATTATAAACTCTACAAAGCATGTTAGAACAGAGGTGATGAAGGATTTGAAACTCAAGCAATTTATAACTGTTGTGACAAAGATTTGTGATTCTTACGACTTCTAACAGTAACAATGATTCAGGAACTCATACAAGTTGTAACTGGAGTTACAAGGATTTCGGAAACTCATACTGAGTGAAGAAGTACGGAAAAAAAACATACTTGTTGCTTCAGGAACATGGATATGGGTGATGTCAAGAATTTTAACAATGTTCTTGTTGTGTAGAAGAAAAACAAAATTTTTTCATGTATGCTAGTATTTCTTTGTTAAGAATGTGAAAAGTTTAGAATAAAGAAAATGACTCCAGATAGGTTTTCATTCAAGGTTTAACAACTAAGAAAGGTGCTGAAGTACAAGCAAACATTTTAACAAAAATTGAACAAAACAGTAATATTACATTGCAAGAAATAATGGACAATTGACAGGCAATTCTAAGTCTGAAACATGATGTTGGAAGAAATTCAAAAACAAAGAATGTGCATTGGTACAAGCAAAGGACAAATTTACAAAAAGGAGAATAAATCCTTGTTTCAGATGTGGTAAATTTAAAAATGCAGAATGTTACAAGTGTGGTAAACAAGGACATATAAACACACTGCAAAACCAAAACCAAAACCATTCTCACAGGAAGAAATTCATACACAGCATTGTTATGAATAAATGGCCACAGAAAACAAAAGTAACTTTTTGAATGTGAAAATAAATAATGTGGGTGTGAAAATGCTACTGGACACTGGTAGTGATATTTCAATAATCAGTGAAACCACATGGAAGGAAATTGGAAAGCCTTTATTAAAAAGGACTTCCAAAGTTGTGATTTCAATTTCTAGTGAGAAATTGTATTTTTTTTTTTTTTTTGAGAAATGACTTGTAATGTCTCATTTTGTAATAAGCATGTAAAAGCTAAAGCTTACGCATTAAAAAATGCTATGAATTTATTTGGTACTGATTGAATGGAACTATTTGAAATTTGGAATTTGCCAATAAACATTTATTGTAAAAACATAAATGGACAAGTGACCAATTTAAAAAGTCAGAGCAAAAATCTTAAGGAAGAATCAAAAAAATGTTTTCCAGATGTTCAGTCTCATGAACTGGGTTAGTGTCCAAAATTCAAGGTGGATTTTCAAGTAAAAAAAAGGTTCAATGCCAGTATTTAAGCTAAAACAGAGCGTAACATTTGCAGCATTGGAACAAGTCAATGAAGAGTTGGACAGACTCAAAAGAATTGGTGTAATAGAAAAAAATGAACTATTCAAAATGGGCTGCACCAGTAGTGTATGTAAAGAAAAAAAAAAAAATTTGTGTTTACGTAGATTTCTCGGCAGGATTAAAAAGTTGTTTAGAAACATATAACTACCAATTACCAGATTAAATTTTTTTGAAGTTAAACAGCAGAAGAATATCTTCAAAGCTGGATCTCTCTGAAGCATATTTACAAATTCAGATTGTAAATGAATGTTCAGAATTAACAACCATAAATACACACAAAGGATTATATTTAACCAACTTCCTTTTGGTAAAAAGGTGGCACAATCTATTTTTCAACAAGCTATGGATACAATGCTTGCAGATTTTGATTTTGCTGTGGCACTACAAATTCAGGTACATTGGCAAATTCTCCAAAAAGAGGAAGGGAAGTTACTAATAAGAAATAAAACATTTATAAAATATTAATCTCAAAAGGGGGATGTTGTGGAGTAAATAATCCACCTGGTGACTATATGAATTAGTCCATAACTATAAATAAAGAGCTCCAAGTCAGAGGTAAGAAGAAGCCATTTGGAGTTGGTCTTCAGACTAATTAATACAGGTGTCACGGCAAGTAGCCAAAGCATTACTTATATTATAAGCACTACAAAGTGTGTTATAACATGTTTTGAAACAAATTCTGATCGGTGATGAAAAGTGGATACTTTACAACAACATGAAACACAAAGGATCATTGGGGGTAACCACCACTAACTCTACTAAAGACAGGTCTTCATCCAAAGAAAATAATAATGTATATAAGGTGGCAGTGAAAGTAAATCATCTAAATTAGATAAACTGAAAATGGTAATTAATAAAAAGTATTTGCAATAAGAGAAATGATGTAATATTCCTTCAGGATAATGCCATATTAGGAAGTTTTTACAACTTCAAATTAGCATTTATTTAACTAATTAACTAATTTAAATTCCCTGGAAGACTGAAAGAGGCACCAAGAGTACAGCTTAGAAAGATAAAGTTCTGATAGGAAGGAACTATGAAATTGCCCAAAAGGTGGCAAAAGATACTCTATCACTTCTTTTTTTTTTTTATATGACCATTACAAGGCTCAGATTAATCCAAATATTAAAAATATTTTAAGCATGAAGTGAGGTTCAGATATTTTTTAACATAACTAATAAATTTCTAATTCTCATATTTTAAGCATGAAATACGGTTTAAACTTTGCTAAGCATGACCAGACTAAGCTAAAATTACCTGTAGTGGAACAAAATTGTAAGTATTTTGCTGAATAAATTAATGTCAAAAATAAAACATTTGATCTTTATTTAATAAATAAAACATTTTGGCCACCAAATAAATTCTGTCCAGCAAAGAAAAAGCAAAATTCAATTTTTAGAATAACATCATCAAATAGCAAGTTAGTTGTAGCTAGAAAGCTACTCAATCACTAAAAAAAACCCAAAAAACAAGGGCTACTAATGGCAATAGAGAGAATATAAGACTAAACCCTAAAAGAATTTGACCTTTAACACTCTACATTATTTATGAGTATTACTTCCCCTTCAACTGCATTCATTTTCAAAACCTCCTGTACTGCAGTAGTGCCATTGTCAATTTCAATAAAGGTTGTTTTCTCTTGCTTTAACAGGACAAGAATAACAAATACAAAATTCAAACACATAATTATTCAGCAATTGTGGTGTCATCTGTTATGGTGGGACCAACTTTTTTGCTTCTTGAACAATGTCACCTACAGAATATCTAAATTATCAAAAGGACAAACTGATTAAAAAGAATCAACTAATATGAAATATCCTCTCTCATAGACGACAGAAGAACAATTTAGCCTGCCACTGGATTAAATAATCAGGTTGGTTCAAAATTCACAAATAATTACTGTATATGACAGATACTGTAGTGATACTAGCAAATTAGTATGCATAATTTGCATAAGCAGAACTGAACATTCAATATAAGTGGTTACTGAGAATAACCACTAGCAAGTACGAGTCTAGCAACTGATTAGTGCTAACATCCACTTCACAACAGATACAATGGTGAAAATGCTGTGACTATAACAATCAAGACACCAGTCCTTTTGCTTTTCTCTTAAATAAGTATGATTTTAAATCATTGCTCAAAATATTACAAATATAAGATTACAAATCAAATTAAGTTACAGATCTGCTGGAAAAATATTTGTTTTAGAATTGATAAAATATGTATATATATATATATTTTAATATACCCAATTTAAAATACTTCAATATGAATAATTTGAGAATTAAATTTATTTCTATTTACAAAACTAATTCTTTGCTACAAATTAAAAATACATGTGATCATAAACATTGTTATTTAACTTTTAACATTTTCTTATTAGTCTCCAAAAATTGCAGCCCAATCTCAAGGATTTTCAGGGAAACCCCAGGCATTTTAGACTATCATCCCCTTCATGAAACCCTTGATTCCTCATCAACTCTCAGGCATGTATAAAACAATATCAATAATTATTTTATTTAAAGGTAGAAATTCATTTGCCCTTACATTTTCTTCTTTCTTTTTCAATTTCTAGACTAGACCAGTTTGTCTGAATAAAAAATCATCTATCCAGTAAATCCCCAAAATAGTTCTAATAAACACAACCCATATCTGCAATCTGCTTGTACTCTCAAATTTCTTTATTTGTTTTTTTTTTTAACACATTTTGTCCAATCCATTCTTGTGGCTTTTATTAAGAGTTAAGAGATCTCTTTTGTCTCACCGATTACACTTGATAGAAGGTCTGTGCATTTGAAAACCATCAATCCCTTTCTAGAATCCTTGATATTTCAATAAGTACTTATTTATTTTAGATTCCTTTTGCTCTTTTCCTTCATTATCATTTCTCAATAAAATTAATTTTAGCTTTACATTTTTCAATTTCTATTTGCTTGTTTGAATAATAAGAAAATCTTCATATATAATATAGGTAATAATAAACATTAAAAATAAATTAATATATTTTTTAATGAATTTATTAATATTAATGGGAAGGAAATGTTTGATGAGCAGCAGCAAAGGCATTGATATTTGGTTGGAAATTGATGAGTTTTAGTTGGAAGTCACTACGATTTATTGACCTACATTTGTTGATATCAACCACTTTCTAGAACCCTGCTTTAAATGCAAACACATTAAGTATCTCCTTTATAATTTTAATATAAAGCATACTTCAAAAATCATTTGCTGCAATGTTTACTGTTATAAGGAATTTAAGCTGCTTGAGTGTGCATTATCTGCTTTTCAGAGAGAAAGCAGACGCTGTGTTGGGCTCTTGCGTAATTTTTGAGTTTCAAAAATATTTCTGGTACATTTCAATTTGTGGAAAAAACATACGTTTGTTTTTCATCCAAAACCAATAAAAGGGTTTCCCTCCAAATTCTGAGAAGTGTATTTGGAGCCTACCAGTAGGTAATTCAAGGGATGGGGGCTTGGGTTTAATTTTCAGCATCAACAAACAGCTGTTGCAGCAAGCCAGGCTGACCCAATCCAGAAAGAAAACAACACAGAAGAAATTTGACAACCACACGATGGGAATTGAAAGGGACATTAAAGTCACTCCCACGTCAAGGAAAAGTCTTTGGCTGGTGTGCTTGTTTTATTTTTCACTGTTACCACAAATTTTGCTTCAAAAGTTGTACCAATTCTTTGAAATCTATTCAGAAGTATTTTCTCCTTTTCTTCATTTTATGTAGTTTTCTTTTCTGAGGACCTTCTTATACAGCATTATAAATACCTTTTATTGTAAAAAGACATATTTCATCTGTTATTGATAATTTACATACATGCTATTGGACATCATTTGGCACACAAAACACTTAATTTGTGTAATTAATTTATTTTTTATGTATTAATAAATTTATCATCAGTTTTTAAACTTGGCTTGTGTTGTCTGTCTTTGTTATGTGCCCATATAAATTAAATGTTACCTCAAACATTTGTTTGAACTATTTTTTTCGTAGTTTTTTTTACCAAATATAAAATCCTATACTGTAGCAGTCTTATAATGTTAATCTTTACTGGGTGCTCCACAGGTTTAATCTACTTCTAAAGTTGTCATATTTTAATATAAATACATAGGAAAAATTATGATGATTTATTCATCCAAAGGAGATTTCGTTTAAAAATCTCAAATGTATTTCTGAATAAATTATGATACTTACAGATTGTACACTTAATTCCAAAAATTTATATGCAATTTCTAAGAGGTACTCACCAAATAATGTTGATATATAATTGTAAGTAAAACTATATTATCAGTATGAAATGTGAAAATAGTGACATCATGTGGTACAAGTCTTGCTGCTTATAAATAAGAAAAAAAAAATTAAATTGTTACCTTTGCCGGCTCCCAACTCCACATAGATAGAACCAGTCTTTAATAAATAATTTTTTTCCAAATGACTTACAAGAGATGCCTGAAAAATAAAATATTCAGATATTCTAAGAATTTCACTCTTATTAGGTAACAATGATATTTCATACAAATGCTTTTGAAAAGGCATGAACCTTAAATTTCTATGCATCCTTCTATAACCAGTTTTGTATACATTGATGAAACATTAGCGGAGAAAAGGATATGCAAATCTACTTCAGTTTTAATCCAATATACATCCAAATTGTTATCTCTGAAAAAGGATTTATTAGATTACTAGCTTAAAAGCTGCACTCTGTTACAGACTTTTAAGCTAGCTTCTGTGGACGGCTAATTGAAACTCCAGCTCAAAACTAAAGGAACCTCTGGCCCAACTTAGAAAACAGCAATGATAATTTTGAAGAAATAACTTTGAATTCCTCAATTTGCTCCATGGAACTTCAAAACCTCACTTTAACTTTGATTTACACTATAAGTTCAATTCTGGCTAAAAATCCAATTTGGGCAGAAATTCCAATTCAGGGTGAAAATTGTGTTCTTCAAATCACAAAATCTGCAGAACTTCAAAACCTCATATCATGAAACCTCTCACTTTAAGTCTGATTTCTTAGCATTTTGAAGAAATAAAATTGATTTCCTCAATTCACAAAGAAGATAGCCCAAAATTCTCAACACAATAAATATTTTATTCACCAATTTAAACATTATTTGATTCTACTTAAATTTAATACAATAATCCAAGAATATGATCAACTTCATTACTTAAATAAATTTCCAATTTTTATGCTGAAGTTTTGTTTAGATTGAAATTTGAAAATTTTGTAGCTTTTTTTGTATTAAGAAATATTCAAACATCAGGAAATGAACTTAACAAAAGTTGGTTATCATCGATTTATATATACTTATATGTTAGGAAAATTAATAACAAAGTAGAAAAAATATTTTGCCCTTTAGGATTTCATCAAACTAGATTTTTACTTATATGTATATATGTAGCACAATTAAAAACAGTTCTGAATATGAAAAGAAGTATATATAAAATATATATTAGGGAGATATTAGCAACAATTTCAGTTTTAAAGATCTTCAGAGTTAAAACTAATTAACATGTATGCATAAAAATTTCTTTCAATGTTATTAAAAGATATGCAGGTATAAGAAGATAACAATTTTTATAATCTTAGATGAGAATGAAGAATTTTTATTAATTTAACAAATAAATAGTAACATAAAAAATTAGCATATTATTTTAGAAATAATTCAACTGAATTCCTCTTGATTTACAAGTAAAAAGATCAGTAACTTTATGTAAAAGAACTGGCTTTCACTGAATCAGTAGCAGTTTCTACTGACCGCTGAATGCTATGCATACTGCCTGACTTTAGTCTTTCCCCTAATTTACTCTATATTTCATCTGGATGTGTTGTATCATTTTATTATTAAGAAATTACTGCATTTAGCATATCAAAGGTAGAAATTTGAAAGCAAGTGTCTGCTTACAACTGTCAAGTGTTTATTACAATAAGTAGAAATTCTGTCTCCCTCAAGTGATATATGACACAATTAAAATAAATATGTACAGAAATTGTATAATTTTACTTCCCCTTTGTTTGTCCCTTTTTTTAGATTAGATACTTTTTAGATTTGTTGCTGTTTTGATCACTTCTGGTTAGCCCTTCACTGGAACCCCTTACAATAAAGGCATAACTCCAAATATGTGGTCAGTAGTTTCATCATCCTAATCTCACCCACAATGTTACCAATCCATTTTACCCATTTGGTTATAATAAACCTGTTGATGAGCGAGACTTTGTCTTCATCAGAGTTTTAATTGCTTTAAGGTGTTTATCTGGCTGTCCAAGATTATGCATGTGTTTGACACAGACATGTTCTGTTGGTGGAGGTGGGATATTTTTAATTTTATATAGAATGAATTTTATAGGGCAGAAAATACATCATTGGTTGTAAGCCTAATTGGGCAAGAAGAATGGCAGCCAACAATAAAATGATACTTTTATTTTTATTGATTTATTCTTCTGATTAATTTGTCTGGAATTCTTTCAATTTAACCCATTACATGCATTATAATAGTTATAATAAAAAGATAGTTGATGTTGGGCAGAATAATGCATTTATATATCTTGTAACCCCAACAACTTTGATGAATCAATTCAATCATAACTTTTTTATAGAGTACACAGTATGATTTAAAAGATCAAAAAATGGAATCAGATGAAAAAGATAATTCTTTAAAGGCACAGAAGGAAAGTCTGAAACAAACCTGTTGTTTCCTTTGGCGTTGAGCTTGAATACCATAATAAGGATTGGCCATTTCTTTTGTCATACATTCATGCCATAATTCTTCCTTTTTTATACCAGAAAGATATTCTGAAATAAAAGCAGTCAGTATTGTAGATCACTATCAATATATACTTCACAGGTAGTGAAAACATTTTCTGAATATAAAAACCTAACTGAACAATACAAAATCCCATTATACTAAGGTATTCTGAAAAATCCTTTATTTACTCTGAAAGTATTTAATCCATTATTAAAACATAAGTAAAATAATTATTCCACAAAATACTATAAAAACCAAGCATGGTACTCTGACCATCTACTAAGTTATGGGATAATTTGATCTGATTTTGAATTATCTTTCTATTAACCCTAAGACATGGGGTAATGGTTAACAAGATTACTCTAGTTGATCATTACTTCTGAGAAGTGAGGTCAATCCTCACTTGGTGCCCAATACAAAAATTTGACATTAAAAAAACCAACAACAGTTGACATGTAAAATCAACCAAACTAACATTTTTTTTAATATCATGTCCATTCAGGATGTATGCAATCATGACTCTCCCCAGATTCCTTTTCTTTATTGTCTATGAATAGCTATGACTTCTTGGGAAAGATAGTGGAGTGGTTTCCTGTTGCTTTCTCCACAGTTGTAAATTCAGAGTTGCCTTTCTCCTAGACAGTCTACCATCCAAGCTAAAGAACTCTGTCTATCCTATTTTGGGAGGTGGGGTGGATTCCAGCCATTCTCAAAGTGAACACAACTGACTAAACCAGTATTTAAACTAAACTCACAAATTCCACTTTGCAGCAATACCTATTACACCACCCACAACAACTTATTAATTTTCAAACCAGCTATCTATAATTGAATCCTCCTTTTATTTATTTTATTGAAAAGAAAAATGAATTGTCAAGAACATATATTGCTGTATTTTTTCTTTTTAGATGAATGAGAAAAAATGTTAATAATGACTTTCAAACCCATTTCTTTCATATTTCTCAAGCAAAGATATTCTGATATAAAGAACAGAAAAATTTTGAAAAATGTTGGACAAAACAATTTTTTGTAAGTAAGAAAAATTTCTTTAAAATTTTTTGAAGATAAACATTCCATACTTTGATAAAGCTGTTTAACTTTGGTAATTGCTTGAGAGATTTCATTGCTTGATGCTGTCAAAACAGTCAGCTGAAAGAAAAAATAGAAATATCATTCTCATCGCTATCATAGATTTTACAAGTACAACAATATGTTACTCACAAATGTAAATAAATACACAGACAATTCTGAGGTAGTATAATCAGATAAACACTTAGAATAAAAAGATATATTAAGTCATATGTTATAAGTTCTTCAATACCTGTGGAGTAATATCTTCATTTTGGGGATATGATTTAGAATGAAACTTCAGAATAAAAACTGAATTTTGAAATATTTTTATAACATTATGTTAGTATCAGTAGAATTATCTGTCTATATTTCTGAGATTAGGTACTGTAACTATTTACACTATTTACATTGTTCGAACTGTTGCCTTCATCTTTACTGTCATATTCACAATGTTTCAGGCCGTTGTACACTCCAGCCTTTTTCAGGTGATATAACCTAGGAATTTTGAACCAATCGCTTTATTTTGTCCACTGGGGTAGATTATTCTAGTTCCACATGTCATGCCTTTTCTGGATATCTCAGTTTCAGTTAATTCCCTTTAGTAACTCAACTCTTTCTTCATCTTCGTTATGATCAGGTATCGAACTCACAAGTCTTTGATTCAAGTCACTGTAATACTTCAACCAATGCTTTTATCCACTGAATTATGTGTCTTTGAAGAGTGTACAATGGCTGAAATGTCATGGATAATAAATATAAGTGTAAATAGTGTAGTTAAAAGATCTCACCTTATCATATCACTTCTTTGTATAGTTGCTCTTATTAACACAACTTTTTAACTAATCAATTCTTCAGCGCTGGCTATCTATTGCTTGGTTGCCATAATTCAATTATATGGCACTGATAAGTATTTAAAAATGTCATCTATAACTTATTTTTGTTAGGCTGTGTTGTTGAATAAATTACAATTTCTTCTGTACTGAATATGAAATATTTTAGCATTAAAATAAACTAATATCTTAACCTCTGCTTAGCATGTAGTAAAAATCAAAGGTCAGTGAGAGTGACTATAAATATGGTCCCTGCTGTAGACTGTTTATTCTAAGCTAATAAGAAGACTAACAAAACTTTGATAAATAAAGGGTGTTTAGGTTTAGCACAAATTTAAGGTCTCTCACATAAGTCATAAATAAAAAAAATATAATTTCTACGATAATGATATTAAATACTAAATGATAATTTTCATAAAATAAAGACAACTTATTTGTTTTAAATTTCAATAGAGATTTGTACCTTGTTTTCCTGAATCTTTTCTTTTGCTGTGTTTCCTGAATTAATTCCTGCAACATAGTAGGGCTAAAATTAAAAAAAAAAAAATAATTAGTAAATAATAAACAAAAGTATGATTTTTAACAAATAGATAATCTAATCAAAAGTCTATTTTATTTGTAATCAATTTTTATCCAAGCAATTTAAAAAAGCAATCATAGCAGAACTTAAAAAAAGCAATCATAAAAAAAACTTTAAAAAAGCAATCATAGCAGATCCTTTTATATTATATATAATATAAAAGGATCAAACACTAATATTCCATGGTTATAATTTATTACATTGGAATCGTAATCACAATCCAATTCATATATATATATATATATATATATATATATACGCACATTAACCACTAATATTATCTATCTATCTATATATCTATATATATATATATAAGATAAAACATCATAAAATAATGGTCACTATCTCTTCTACTTCTGTTCTTGTAAATTCTTTAAGGTTAAAACACTTTTGTTTGTTAGTGACTATTTCTATTTAAATTGTCAGTTGTATACAACCACTTCCTCAGATCAATGGTTACAAATAACTCTAAGTGAATGAAACTTGCAGGTCTTAGTAAGGCCCATCCTTCTTCTTCAAACCTTGTTGACTGGCACTACAGAACCACAAACAAAGAATTGTATCAAATAACAGTGTCACGGAGAGAGTCTAGGAAACACACACATGTATATTTCTTTTTAGTGAAATTGGAGTGGATTTGAACAGTGAAATTAGATCAGAGCATTTTTGTTTACTAATGGTGAAACCTGATCTAGGGCAGAAGTTGTACCCATTGAATCTGGATCATCAGTAGACAATGGAAATGGATGAAATAATTTTTATTGATTAAAACTTGGAATAGAGCTGAGTAAGCAAGGAGGACCTTTAGAATTCATATGATTTTGGTTGAAACAGCCATAACCCCTGTGATAATCGTGTGCGAAGTAGTAGGGCCAAGGGTCAGTTATAACCAGCTGGGATTTTCTATATAAACACATAGTTATGCTGAAAAAGGGGCAGATTGAAGATAGACAGAAGAGAATTATCCCAGGCAAGAGTTGGGCTAGAGACAGTGGAGAGTCAAGTTGGAGACTCAAGAAGGAGAGAAACTGATGTCAGAGACTGGAACGAAGCATCCGCTAACATGTACTGTTGATATAAGTACTGCTGCTTCTGCTACCATGAATATTACTACTACTGTTACTACTGCTAAAGAGGAACGCAACTATAAACTTTAAGCCATGCACAGAAATCTTATTCCCTCATCGCAAAAGTCGTATATTGTTCTGAGACAATTTAACAAGTTAATTATAACACACTCTCTCTCTGTCCAGAATCCAGTGTATGCATTTTTACGTCAATTACTTTTCTGTAACCCGTTTTCTTTTCTGTACTATTCTTTTCTGCTATATAAGACATTAACAATTCAATCATTGAATAGTTGTTTGTCCGGCTTTCTGCACATATTAATATTTTTTTTTTTTCTGCATTCTAAATTTCTTAAGCGCAGACTCTCCAGCCGTGTCTACATCTTCAGTCGACCATGAATGGATGAACATCACTTCTGCTTTCTGGATCAAACCAAACACAACGTGATAATTCTTCTGCCATCACTTAATTTAAAGACAATTTGATGTACATAGGTCCTTACTTTCTGCACAAACAATTATTTTTATTTCATGGGTGACTCTCAGTGTTTTCGTAATTAATTTTGATTATTCCCAAATTTATTTCCAAGTTATACAAATTGTTATTGTACAAAAAATTGGCCACAAAAAATCACAATCGAAAACAATTGCAGTAATGGAAACTTGGGAATCCAAAATTTCAGGATTGCAGATCTGGCTATGGCCTGGAATGATTTTAATTTGGTCATGGAGTCAGCCTAATTCCAAAATGGTATGTTATGTTGGGCTATGGCCTCTTGGAGTAAGTTGAAAAATTTTGACACAGTGACACACCAACATTCGCATTTATTATATAGATTTCTTTATTTAACTGTATTTTTAAAAAAATTTTTTAACAGAGCTACATAATTCACAACCAGTTATAAAGATGAGAATAATACCATAGATATTAACCATATTCACCATGTCTTTTTGCATTTTCATCAAGGGATGAATATTAAAAAAAAATTAAAAAAAACAAACTTGTATGATTTTAAAAGTCACTTTACCCTTTATATCTTGAAATTAGCTATTAAACATGTTTTATTGAAAAGTAAAGACATTCTATATCTCTTAAATTTAATCATCTTTTCTAAATTGCAAATAACCTTCTGCAAACCTGACTGCTGAAAATGTAAATAATACCCAAAATTAAGGCCATGTTTGAGCTTTGAATTCACATCAATCATCATCCGGAGTCTGTACAAGTAAAGTAAGTATTTACCTGGCCTTCCCACTAAAGCAGTATGTGACACAAGGTCGATTTTTTATGTGGGGAGTACCATACACATATGTATGCATATGGACAAAGGATGAAAATTTTTTCGCCAGTCCCTATGACCATTGTCACACTGACATTGATCGCAGGGTTGGGATCCTCAGGACTGGGCTTTCTCCCATCTAAAATGAGAAATGTTAACTCCACTTCCAGTCAAAAGCAAACTACTGTGCCATAAGGTGAAAAAAAAATCCAAAGTGTTTTAAGCAGTACATTTTAAAGTGTCATTATATTTTAAATTGAGTCTGGTTTGCAGCAATTTAGAAAAAAATGATGGTTAAATCTAATAGACATAGAATGTCTATACTTTCCAATAGAACATGTTTAAACGAACTGCCTGCCTAATTATGCTAAATTACCTATTACATATGCATTGAACTGCTTAAAACAGTTTCCTCATTAATGAAGCTGGTATGAATGATTGTATAACACTACCTCATCTCAGAAATTCTGATAAGGCAGCTGAAAGATACAATAGCAAAGCATTGTGGTAAAGATAACAAAGGCTAAGAAAGGGATTTGAATGAAACAATGTATAATGCTAATATTATTTCATCTAAAAAAAAAAAAAAAAAAATTGAAAATAGCTGATAGTTGTATTATGATTATCATTTAAGAGTTTTGTTGGTATTAGTAATTCAAAACAAAACTAAAATTCACTTTAAAAATGTTTGCATTGTAGTGTAATGGAAATTGGCTCAGAACAAGAAACGAGAGAGCCCAGTTCAAATTCATTACATACACTTACACACAAATACCCTTGGGAAAACTATGAATTCAGCTCTCCTCTCCCCAGCTATGGGTTGAATAACAGAACAGACTGGGTCATATAGCATTGGTCAGAAGCCAGTCTACCACAAAAAGAAACGGCAACCTTCTGCAAGAAAATCTTCTGCTTTGTCAGTCATGAATCAAAAGAGACATGATTACCCAAGTGTGTATCACATGTGGCACTTTACTGACTGAATGAAGTATTAAAATAATTTTATTTCAATATAAAACTTTGAAAAACAAACTGTAATGTAACAAACAAAAATAAGAGTATTAATGACATTTTTTATCAATGTATTTCTTTTAGTTATTTACATTCCTTAAATAGAAGTGAACAGAATTTTTGAGCATAAATTTTCAAATGCTTGGTATACTCCTATGCTCAAAAAATATTTAAATTGATATTTCTACACCAATAAATCCTAAAAATATGGTCAAAATCAATGTCCTCTTAAAACAACAACATAAAACAATTAGATAAGTTAGCGTAGTTTATAAAATTTAAAATAAAAGCATCATAATCCAATTATGACCTGAAGATAGCAAACAGAAATATGTGTATCTTTTAGGTTGAGTCATAAGCAATTCCTATTTTGGGGAACCAATTGTAATGATGAATGTATCACCCTAACTCGTATGTTGCAATTAAGAATAAATCTGAAGTACACTAACATGCCTTAGTTTTTGTATGACAGTGTCAGTGTACATATTGGATTAAAGAAATAACTGTTCTCCTCCATGATAAAACAGTGACTCATACAGCAAGTACACAAGAATTGTTCTGTTCTACCCCACCCACTATATTCACCAGACCTTTCACCCACTGATTATTACCATTTTTGATTGATACAAAATGCTTTGGTGATGAAAACTTTCTCAAATGAAAATGAGACTAAAGAGTTTGTTCAAAACTTTTTCACATCAAAACATGCTGAATTTTACTCAAAAGGTATTGAAGTGGCAAATAACAGTGAATATGTAATTGAATTTTTAAGAGTAAAGTTGATAAATAAAAACGGAAATTATTTATGACTCAGTTTAATATATAAATAATGAAAGGAAGTCAAGAATTGTCATTCATAATCTTCTATCATTTGATTTTTCTAGTGAATAAACAAAAACAAACAATATTGTTAATACAGGTTGAGAATCCTTTATCTGAAAATCTTGGGACCAGAAGTGCTTCAATTTTCAAATTTTTTTTTGATTTTGGAATAGTCTATTTAATTTGTATGTAGCAGCTTGGAAATGGAACACAAACATAAATGCGAGATACTTTAATATTTCATAACACAGTTTATACATATACCCTGAAAGTAGTTTTATATAAAATTTAATAAATTTTATGTACATACAGATACAGGTAATGACATATAGTGCTCATACAGATTTTTAAATGGTGAAATTAAGATTTTACATAAAAATAATGCTTTGTACTTTCTGTACGTGTACAAAAAAACATGATCACAATTTACAAAAAAATATAAATGCAGGACTTTTTGACATTTTAAATAATATCTTTACTGAGCATGAAACACCTGGTAAGTAATCCACAAACGAAGGTGTTGCTGAGACAATCGCTAACAAAAAACTGGTGCCAATATAGGCTACATGGCTGGGCTTTCTGAAATTTTACAATTGTACCAAGTCTGAAAAACTTTCAGATTTTGGAATTTCGGATAAAGGATACTCAACCTGTATCAGAATTTGTGAACAATGATTTTAATTTTGTATCCCAGATATTTATAGCTTTACCTTTTAAAGCATTATTAGTGAAGACTTTTGGAGTGGGTAACAAATTCTACATTACTTTAATATACTCCTCCTAAATTGGTTTAGGGGAAGGATATTTCAGTGCTAAAAGTAAGGGGAGATGACCTATAGGTGACACACACATTTCAAACTACCTTTCGTCCTTTTTGAAAGGATGAAACTAAGTGTGACAATTGTGATTAAATGATGAATTGGATTTGATAAACAAAATTCCTGTTGGGTATGCTTGGAAATATCGAAACAAATTTGTCAATAATACATTTAAAAATGTATGTATTCACATAAACAAATAATGTCTTTTCTAACTTTGTCAATAAAATAAAGCATGGACTACTTTCTTGTGTTCAAATGGCCACTCTTGCAGGGAGCAAGTTAAGGTGATTCCAAATTTTAGATAATTCTGTACATTAAAGAGACATTGAAGGAAATCCCATAGAAAGATAGGAAAAATATTTCAGGATATGTAGGGAGAAGTAGAATCAAATAATATAATAGTGACTTGCTAATAGTTTTTATATAGCAGAGATACTCAACTGTGGGAGTGGGGGGAATTTTTTGCTTTCCTTGTTTTTTATTTACAGAATTTAGAGCCCATCATAAGTGTCAAAAAAAAAATGGTATGATGAATGTTATATTCAATATGGATTCACAAATTACTGTACATGTATTCAAATTAAAAAAAAAATCCATCAACATTTTCTATTGCTATTAAATTTGTAAAACTCCTTTATGAAAATAATCCCTGTACTAATATGTAAAAGAATGAAAATTTTCAATAATATATGCATGTTATTCGGAATGCACTTTTTGAGTCAGACAATCTTAGAGAGGCGGGGGATGACATTCTAACAATATGTTTAAAAGGGTGCACTGGGCAAAAAATTTTGAGAAACATTGCTATATTAGCCTAGAAATAGCACTTTTCTTTCTTGTACTTAAATTAGAAATAAATTGAACTTGTGAAAGTACTACTTGAATATAAACAAAAGAATTTAATTCTGAAGCTTTATCCATTATCTACATTAATAATTAAATTTTACTGTTCAATATAAAAATAAAGAAAGCACAAATCAGAGAGAAAATTTCTATTCATTTATCAATTTTCTAACTTTTATTACTTGAAATAAAACTAAACTTGTCATGTGAAATGATTAACTTATCACCATCAGATTACTTAGTTGCTTAAAAGGCATTTTTTTGAATACTGCTGCCATATCTGATTTGGTTGTTTCTGCTAGAAGAGATTCTTGATAAAAAAAAAAAAGAATCAGCAATGATTTGGCATCTTACCATCAGTCACTTTCCACTGCTGTAATGTAACTTCCCTGTGACTTTTCTATAAATAGTTTCATGGTAACTGTTCTGATGAACTTTCCTTGATGATACCTTGACTGTATGAATTTAAGCACAATACTAAATTGCTGGTAAGGTCTTATCATTTTACAGTTGAAATGATTAGATGTAACCATAAATTATATGCTAACAGTTTCTTCTATTACACTTCTTGCTTGTGGAACTTTCTTCCAGCTTCCTGCTACCCTGTCAAATTAAATGCAATGTCAATTGTTATCTATCTTCTTAATTCTTGTTCTTTAATTGTTCTCTCTCTTTAATAGTGTTTTTTTCTCATATTCTCTCACATTCAGTAACTCCTTGTGTTTTAGTGGCTTTATTGCCATGCTTTGGTGAAATAATTTTGAAAAAATTGTGTGCACAGTTAACAAGTTATGTTAATAATTATAAAATTACTAATCAAGTAATAGAACCTGAGAACATTTATGCTAAAAAACAACAAATATTACTTACTGGTAATGTGTGTTGACGTTTATTGCACTTCTTGATGTGTGTGTCAACATTGTCTTCATATACTGTACTGAAATAAGATCAAAGATAATCAATTTATTAAAACTTTTCATCTAATACAAAACAGATTTGTCACAAAATGTGTAATAATATTCACAAAAAATATGAAATACAATTATACATCAATATATACATATACAATGGACAAATTTTGTCTATCAATTTTTTATTAAATCTTTCAAATTTCTAAACTTATTTGGAAATTTGAAAGATTTAATAAAAAATTGATAGAAATTGTTCAGAATATTTAACAAAACATGTTTTGAGAGAATTCTTGCTGCTGAAATACATTTTATATATATATATATATGCCAGAAGCTCGGAGAACTCAATTCAATTTTTCTTGAAGATATATATAAAACCACAAGTAGTGTAATCTAAATTCTTTCACATAAAATATCCCACAATCAATATACAGATACTAACAGACAAATAAAAATGCCCACTAGACACACTAATGGACATATTATCAACCAAATCCTGCATAGACCAACTAGAATTGTGATAAACACACAAGAATTATACACACAAATGCTGCTTGGCAGGACAAATACATGTGAAGTCCGCTTAATCAATAAAAAGCAATTTTCTTTTCTCCTCCATATTTCATTTTCTGATGAAGCTTAAATAAAAGAAAAACATATTAAATTTATAAACATTTCCTATTTGTTTTTTTTCCTATCATTGCCGGATTCTGATCCATATTAGATCCCAATTCATATACATACATAATAAATCATTCAACTGAAATATAATTCAAGCTAACATTGGTTTTTTAAATACATTGCTTGGGGAAAACAATATTTAGATTAAGCATTGACTGATTGATTTGTTTTTTTACAGCTTATCGACCTTTTGCAGATTATTTGAAGCCAGAAAATATTTTTAGATTGTAAGAAATTTTTAGAAATAATAATGATTTACTGATAAAAATCCTACTAATTAACCTATAGCTGGGAGAGAATATGGATATTCGTACCTTTCCCAAGGGTATTTGCATGTAAGTGAACATAATGAACCTGACTGGAATTGGAACTAAGCTCTTTGATTTCTAATTCCATGACATTATCTATTACACCACCTGCACATCCAAGATTACAGCACCTGGTATTCCCAAGTGGTCGTCCATCTAGGGATTAAACATTGAATTTTAAGAAAAAAAATATTTAATGATTAAGCATTGAATTTTTTCAGTTGTTTACTTAAAATCTGTTCAGAGAGTTTTTGTATTCGGTTGAGCATGAAAAACAAGGAATGTTAGTCACTGAATATTATATAGTGTAAATGCATTGCTATTGATCTTATTATTTTGAAAATTAGGAAGAAGGGAACTGTCATGTGGTAAAGTAGTCATGATGTAAACATCACTGACACAATGGGACTATTAGCATTACATTTCAAGAATTGACAGAGATCAAAAAAATACTATGAATTTAACAAGAGATTTTAATCAATATCAAATTAACCTTGAAACTACAGTATGAAAAATACAATAAAGGGAAAAATTTGATTTTGTTATGTTATCAAACTATGAAAATAAGCAAAATTCCACTATACTATATAAGATTTGACTATGTAAGTCAATATTTTCACAAAATTACTATTAATCAACTAATTACATTATTTACATTGTTCGGACTGTTTTCCGCATCTTTATTGTTATATTCATAACGTTTCATCAGTTGCAGGCTCCAGCCTTCTTTAGGTGATATACATTGGAATTTCGAACCAAACCCTTTATTTAATCCACAGGAGTACATTGTTCTAGTTCCACATGCCATGCTTTTTCTGTATATCAGTTTCAGTTAATTCTCTTCAATAACTCAACTCTCCAAGATTTTTGTTCACCTCTGCTGTGACCAGGTACTGAAGTAACTGGATTACTTCAGCCAACGCTTTTATCCACTGGGCCATATGTATACTATCTCATTCCAAATATATAGACAGATGTTAACCAACTAATGTTGGTAAAGTTTTCTGGATATATTTATATCAGCAATATATCAGGTGAGTTTCAGCTTATACTAACTATCCTTATTAAAAATAATGTTTCATCATGCAAAATGCAATATAGAATTTTATAAATAAACTAGCAGCAGAGCCCGGCGTTGCCCGGGGATGTAATAGTAAGAGATAGATCAAGTATCGACCATCATAAAGACTGAAAAATAAAATTGACAAAGATTATTGTTTAAGGTTGACGGACACGCATGTCTTAATTAGTTTTTTTTTTACTTAATTGGTCAAACCCAAACTGAAACAAAAACATTGTTTTCAATCATTATGAATCTACCGATTGAATAGAATTTTATTATAAACAATTGTCTTGTAAATGGAATTTTTAAAGCATTCTGAATGTAAAAATAAAGAAAAAAGTGTGCAAGACAATAAGAAAGACTACCTACCAAAAAAAAAGTTTTGTTGAAATCAGTTGAAAAATGTAGGAAATCCGATCGCATATATAAATGAATGCACACACACACACACACACACAATCTGGGTTTTATAATAAGTAGAACTCGATATGAGTTTGTCTATATTTCTGTAATGTAAATAATGTCGATATGAGTGGTCCCTCTTTCATTCTCGCGATGCTTCTTAATCGTGTTTTCAAATTGATTTTGTGTAAAAACAATTGTGTTTTTCCAATTTTTGGCGCTGTCAGAACCACCACAAGGTAATTTTACGTAGTCCTGTGAAGTTTTGTTGTAATCGGTTAAAAAATGTAAGAAATCCGATCCAATATATAAACGTACAGACACACACACAACCTGGGTTTTATAATAAGTATGATTCAAAAGAGTTAATCCATAGAAACAATTATTTGATTAACACAATATCGCAGATACTTGAATTATTATATTTAAGTCAAAATCCAGGTAGGTAGTGACCGACCACAACTTTTATGTGCTTTCACGCAATCATCAGGCAGTCAGTGGCTGTAGTTCGTAAAATAGGCACCCCCGGTGGGGGGGGGGCAACATGGTGAGCCAACCAAACTCACCAGCAGAGGGCAGTCTATCTGACCAAGATTAAAAATAGCTAAGAACTAAAAAAAAAAAAAAAAAAAAAGTTAAAATTCCACTATAAAAGGCTTGCTGGTATGGCAAAAAAAGTGCTCAGTGTCATAGGGAACAATAGCGCCATGGCAGAGGAGCTTAGTGCTTCAAGCAAAAAAGTGCACTACAAAACTGGGCCACTGAAGTTACTCATGTCAGGGCATTTACAATCAGAGAAAAGGATAAGTAGCTTCAAAAAGAGTCTGCCTAAAATTGCACACTGGCAAAAAAAAAAAAAAAAAAAGTGTGCTCAATGCCATAAGAAATGTTCTGGTGTGGGTAACTTTAGTGGCCTGGTTTTGTAGAGCACTTCTTTGCTTGAAAGCTGCCATTCTTAACAACAATTTAACAAATGTGCTCTTCAAACATTTAATGACTGTAAATGATTTTCTGTCTAGAATTTGATACAAATCAAAATACTTGATACTGTAGTCAACAGCAACAAGAAATAGTTGCTGGTAAAAGGGAAAAATTCTATTCCCACTTTTGTCCATGGTTCAGTTCGGATGTCATTAGGATGAAATAGCTCAGCTAGTTATTGATTACAGTGGTCAATGCATGTAGAACAGCAACTAACCATGTCCTTAATTTCATAATTTAGACACAAAGGATTGTGATTGTCTAATGCCTTAGGACACCCACATGGTCAAGTGAACTGTAAACGATTTTATCTGGGTTTAAAGCACTGACAAACAATAGTGAAATCAAGATATGAGAGCTTCAAAGTAACTCCCTGCTGTTCAGAAATAATGGAAAAGAAAATTGATTATATGAATAAATACAAATTTTCAGGATCAAGTGCTATATGGATATATGGTTAGGAATTTCAATTGTGAGCTTATCTAGTCAGGCTGCGTTCTAGAATGGGTAAGTCACAAACTGCCTGTTGTGATGTAGAGACAGTCACAAGCTGTCAGTTGAGAAGCAGTGAGAGTGACAATTGCAGTCAGAGATGGGCAGAGACCAAAGAGAAGACCTACCTCATTAGTGTGTAGTGAAAGGAGACAGAAGTAGCAGGAAAAATGTCTCGAGTGTCACTTATCTACCCACAGACAGTGTCAGGTGAATTCATAAATGAAGAAGCCAGTATACCGAAAACAGGGTTCATGTTTTCTTTTCTCTCGCTGTAACAATATTATATTCTTTCATGCTCTTTGCTGTGAACATACCCTGAGCATTTCTCAGTTTTTGTTCACACCAACTGAGACAGAATCAAAATACATTGTGGGATGAAGCTGATCAGTTGGTGAAAAAATGACCAAGAGCCATGGTTATATGCTTACAGTTATAAAAAAGGAGTTGATAGGTTCACCTATCCTCTAGTTCACATTTCTCACCAGTTTTTTGAACAGAAGTTTATCCCTTATTTCATGTTTAGGAATGGGTATCTAGTTCCTTCTATAAAGTCTACTTCAACTCTATACTTCTAATGTCTCAGCCTAAACTCTGAAATTTATACTATTTATAAATATATATAACTAATATTCCATAAAAATTTCATGGTTTTCCTATTTGAATTTTCTAATGAATCTTAATTCTTAAGTTAATGATTGAATAAGCTCATGACAAGTTTTATGACAATAAAATATCTGTAGACATTCTCCTATCATATTTTCAAATATTTGAGTTTAACAACTTGAATAAAATATTGCAATAACAATCATAAATATGATATGATGGTTATTTTAAGTATGGGTGTACAAATGAAAAGATTTGAAGTTGACAACTTTTTCCATTTTAATTTTTCTTTCTTTCTTTCATACATTCATTTTCTCACTAAAACGAAGTAGTTTCTTTTCCTCCTTTTCTACGTAATCAAAACGGAATAGTCCATTATTTATAAGGAATTTGCAGGGCGTAATGGTTGTGCAAATTAATGAAGGGAAGGACAAGCACAATTATAATACGATTTTTTTTTTTCCTCAATAGGAGTAGATAGGTTCACTGATCT